TTTTTAATTCTTAGGAATTTAAAAAGGTTTCTTGACAAAATGCATACTTACATACATTTAGTTAAAACTAAGAGACTAAAGAAAAAAAAAGTCAACTTTGAGATAACTAAAAGTAGTTTGGGTTGTTTTTTTTTAAGCAAAATATTTTGAAGACTTTTCATGAACACAAAGCATTTTCCAGATGTGATTAGCACACAAAAATCTTATTTTCCACTGCTTTTGTGTTCTAAAACTGTGATCCAAAGCAGACTGGAGAAACTCCTTGCTAAGAGATCATATTGCAGTAAGGCCCTGTGTTTTTACAATGGCAGTCATGTGGCTTTCAGATATCAGGTAGGGSCAGGCGTGTGATTTTTTTTGTGCCCTTTGATCCTCACAGGAAAATTTATTTAAGAGAAAATATAACTTCACAGGGTCTGTCCCTCCTGATAATTTGTATATATGTCCACTTACAGAACCACAAAAGGTTTCCAGTTACCTGTTCCATCTCTTTGGCTGCGTCAGGACAGCTGGTGTTTCTGCCAGGCAGATGTTTGACTACCTTCCTAAAAACATTTAATGATGGAGATTCCACCACTTCCTCAGGCGCCTTGAAGAATGGAAAACATTAGATGTCAACCGTGACATGATCATAAACTGGAAATGTCTGTGAAGGCAGACATTTTTCTGATTAGCTGAGATATCAACATTTATTGCTGATGTCAGAGTTTTGGCCAGATAGAAACATTCTATCCTTCCCACAGTACTGAAATAAATTCAGATTGAATCACATTGTGATGCCCAGCATGATTGGCATGCTGCTAATCAGCTTCCTTCCAGTTTAGAATGAAAGTTGTCAGGCTTACTTCTCAGATTCTTAATGAGATAGCAAGTTTTGCTTCTTTCTTCCCTGAATTTCTCTGTCTTATTTTTAGCTCATTCTTTTCCTTTACATGCTAGAATGCTTTTAAGCAGTGAAGGAACTTGCTTTTCATGCCACTGTTTCGACTTCTGAAAGAACCTTAAAGCTACATTTCTGAACAGCAATGTTTCTTTGTCCTGGCTATGACAGGAAAACATCACCATTCACAGTCTTTGATGYTTGTCCTTCTTGTGATCCATTGTATTTATTCTGCATTTAATTCAAGTCTACAATAACTATGGATACTTTTCCTGTTGTTTTCCTGACTCCCCATTCCTCTGGGAATTTTACATGAGTCATTTAGTATATGTGTGCTAGTAGAACAGTGTAACAACACTGTATGAAATAATTTTCAACTCTGGGAGTAAAAAAGGATGTATGCACTGATATTCTTCCAATTTTTTCCCTCAAATCAGCTGGCTGAAAAAGCTACTGCTCCAGAATGGTACAATATTATGCCACAAATCACAGGACTCTCATCTGAACTTAGCAAATGACATATGCCATTAGCATTCATCACGCCTAAGGTGTATGGCAGTACAGTGCAGTCTGCACTGTACAGTCMCCTGCACAGCCTCTTCCACCTTTGTCTATGCTATCCCATGAGATCAGCACTGATAAATTCATAGAATTATTTAGATTGGAAAAGACCTTTAAGATCATTAAGTTCAACCGTGAACTTAACACTGTCCATTAATCTAGGTGTCTTACTTCACAAATGGATTTGCCTTGACATCTTACAAGAAACAGAAGGAAATTTTCCTGCTTAAATTGTGCCAATAAAGAAAAAATATGGAGTTTGTCTGTTGAAGTGGAATAGATCCTATATCTGCAAAATCTGCTTTCCTCACAAATCCTTTGATGAATGCAYTTTTTCTTCTCAGTTTCCATAATTTAAAATTTCCTCTCTAAGATCAAGCTGATTTTTTTCCTAGAGGAAAGGGAACTTCCAGGATAGATCGGTTCCAGTGCTCTATGACCTTTGCCACAGAAAGGTTACTCAGACATAAGATGCAAAGGCTCAAATCATCCAACTGCTACTAGTACTGATAAAAGACCTGCTCACTTTTTTTAGTGCATTCCCCTAAGCAGCTTCTGGCAGAAATGCTCAAAAGGTCTCACRATAGAAACTACACTTGTCTCAGCAAAACCATGTGTGTTTGGCTTGTACCTTGATAATCCTACACTCTTACCCATATTTCCACGTATCTTCTGCTTTCCACTGACTGTTGCCCTGAAAGCCCCTTCTACTAACATGCTGCTTTAATAACTTAACCTTTCAATTGGTCAAGAATAGCCTTCTCAACAAACCTAGAAATAATCAAACACATCTATGTGCATTGAAGCCTACTGTACATTTAATATGCAAAAGCTTTATGCAGTTCTTAGGACCCCCTGAAAAATATCTGATAGAAGAAGGAATGGTTTTCAACTTGTGCACTCTCCTTTTTATCTCCTGGGTGACTGCTTTGCAAGATTCCTAGAGCAAACCTTATTGTATAACTTTCACCTACCATGATTAGACATAGGACATTATTCCTGGAAACACTGGGATACTGGTGGGGTCTGTGGGGAAASGGGTGTGAAGGAGCTGGAGTGACCTTGAGACTGAAGTCACAACAGGCAAGAGAGCAAAGTCAACAAGGACAACACGAAATCTGCTGCTGCTATTGCCTCATTTTCCTCTTTTGAGTCCCTTTCTTTCCTTGATTGACAGAGAAAGCAGCAGGTGAGATGCTCAAGGTCAAATCAAGCCAAATTCAGGGAAGAAAACTTGTAAAGAAAGCTACTGTAGAGGGGAAGCTAGAAGGAGGTCCTGGAACTTCCTCTGGAGACTTTTCCCTCCAGTGACCAATAGCCTGCCAGCAGAGAGGGAGCACAGATACCGACGCTAGCCCTGCATTTCACCTGTGGGACAAGCGTAGTCTCACCAGCTGGGAAACACTACTTGAGAGGTTTTTAGTTCCCCTAAATACCCATTGTTAGACTAGTGCCCAGGACTGGCATTCCAACCAGCCAGTCTSTCTAATCCCCTCCAAAATCCATGCTGTTTTTGCCTTCAGCAATAGCAAATGCCAGAGACAGCAGTCTGGACAGAAGAAATGGAACATTCTTTCTTAATTCTGCTTCTGCCTGCATTTTCAATCCCACAAAAAAAAAAAAAAAAATGTATGAGACAAGAGCTGCCATTTCCCTCAAAAATTTGACTGTTCACTATTTAAATTACAGCAATGCTTTTGTTTGTGTACAAACAGCAGTCTCTATTCCAAAAGGAGTGTTAATTTTAAAAGTCATTCTGTGTCTTTAGATTGCCAGAAAGACTCCTRAAGGCATTTTCACTGTCTTCCAGGGTCTGGGTCCTGCAATTTCATGGATGCAGACTTGCAGGTCTCTTTCATACCCCTGTGTGGTCAGGTCCATGCTGTCACCCCACAGGCCATAGAACCTGCCATCTTCTCCTATYCTTAGTCTGGAAGCAAACTGGATTTTAATAGATCAATGTAAAAATGATTAATGCGTGCCAGGGAAATGGGTGCCAGTCCTAGTGACCCTTGAAAGCTCAAAAAATTAGGAACATACTGGGGAAACAAGTAAAATCCTCCTCAAAGCATACGAGGACAGTGAATAGCATCTTTTAAAGGAACTGTAACTAATAATTGATTTCCACATTTCTCCACACTCAGTATAATCAAAATTCTTGTTTTAGAACCTTTTTCCAGATAAATACATCTAAAAGTCTAACGATTCCAAAACTCAGTCTATTGCACATGATAGAAGCTTGTTGTAGYAAAACTGGTCTTTCTGCTGTTCATGATCAAGCCATAAACTAATCCACTGTTCCAGATATCAAATTAAAACAAGACCCTTGTTTTACTTCCCTCCTGCCCAGACAATAGATACTGTTCCTCAAATTATAGAAGTYCAGACCGTCTTACTTTATCAGACATACAGTTTCTCACAAGATATTTCAAAGGGCAATCCTTGCACACTCAGTCTCAAGCAAACACTTAGGATGCTCTGTGTTATGTCTCTTTTGGCTGCTTTTAATCAGGTCACCCCTGTACTTGTGCTCACACCACAGGCCTCCCTGAACCTTTACCTTGCTTCTTGCAAATCTGCCCTTGCATTCCTTCCCTGCCCCCCTGGACGTGTCGTATCTTCGCTTAGACCACTGTGTCTTCTTTCACAGCGACAGCCGTGATAACACTTGCACACATATTTAGTATCTAGAGATCTGTCCGAACGCAGTGATACATCTGCAGAATTACTGTCTGGCTGCAACCTCGTGGTGTTGTGCCACACTCTAGTGTTGTTGGATCCTCTGGTGGTGATGTGCTTCTTGCAGCAGGGAATATGCAATTTTATTCTGATCTGCACGGAGTTTTTCAGACTTGGGCACTGTTAATGTACAGCATGAACTCGTGTCTCTGTTGCTGCAGACTGCGGCCGCCTCCACCCAGATTGGGGTTGATGGCCATGTGGTTCGCAGCTCCCGCAGGATGGCCCTGGGACGGCATGGCCGTAAGACTGTGGCCACTGCCTGCCGCTGCCCGGTGGCCATGGGCGAGCAGTCAGTCCCTCAGATGGGAGCCCCAGGCACCCACGGAGGGAGGTCACCTGGCTGTACTGCCCCGCTCTGCTCCACACAAAGCCGGGCACTCACGGCCCACGATGACTGCTTTTGCTCTGGACACACACCACCAACGTGATACACGACATCAATTTGGCGGGGGGCGGGAAGGARAAAAAGAGGAGAAAAATCCCCAGCAGGAACTAGGCAGAAGCGCGTGTTCCGCTCGCTGCCGCTCCCCGGCCTGGTCCGGCCTCCCCGCGTCGAGACAGCGCCCGAGGCACCGCTGCGCTCCGCGCCCGACGACGGCGACCCCAAGGCCCCGGCCGCGGGAGGGAGCTGCGGGGAGCCTGGCASCCCCGGCCCCGGAGCGGGCTCGGCACAGCTCGGCACAGCCGCGGCGGGGCGGGGGCGGGCGGTGCCGCCGTCAGTCAGCGGGCGCGGCGGGGCGGTGCCAGAGCGGGTTGGCGGAGCCGCCGGGGGCGGGGCGGGGGCAGCGCCGGCGGCGGGCACGGCACCGCCGAGGCGCTGAGGAGGCGAGCTCGGTCGGGGCAGCGGGTTCGTGAGCGCGGCGGGACGGGCGCACGGCGGAGAGCTGGGCGTCGCGGCGACAGCTGCTGTCCGGCGGCGGGAGAGAGGCGGTGGCGGCCCCGCCGCTCCTACTGCTCCTGCTGCAGCTGCTGCCACCGCTGCTGCCGCTGAGGTAAAGCGAGTCCCGCTGCATCCGCCGCAGCTGGTGCTACCCCTGGGGCGGCTGCCGGGGCAGGGGAGCGCTGCGGGATGGGGCGGTGCGGGGCCGTGCGGCCGCCTGGGAGCCGAGCACCGGCCGCCCCTGCGGGGTGACAGTCCGAGCGGCAGCGCCGCCCCGTGCAACTTTTTCCCCGGTGCGGGGCGGACTGTGGCGCCGCCGAGCCCTCCGGCGCGGCAGGCCCGGGCGGGCCGCCCGCTGCGGCCGAGGCCGAGCCCCGGGGACGGTGCAGCCTCTCCCCCGGCGGCCGGGAATGGCCGGGTACGGTGCTTCCTGGACGGGCTGGGCGAGCGGCGCGCTGCGGCCACCGCGGAGCTGCCCGGCAGCCCCGGTCCCGGTGGCGTGGGGAGCCGGGCTGGTGCCCGCGCCGGGATGACGCCCCGAGGCGGCGGAAGGGGTGTCCGTTCGGATCGCTGGGGCGGCAGCGGGCGGCGCGGTGTCCTGCCCGCCTGTAGCCGGGGCTCCGCCATCGTCCCCGCGCCGCCGGCGAGCGCCGGCTCGGCGCAGCCCTGCCCCGGCGGCGGAGGGGCTGCACCCCGAGCACCGGCCCCTGGAGAGCGGCTGCTCTGCGGCGGGGACTGCGTGTCTGTTCGGGGCTACGGAGTCGTTAACCTGCCGGCCTCCCAAACGGGACGGAAGTTCAGACTTACTGCTTTSCTAAGTTTCTAAATTATCATTAGTAGTGTAATGGTTGTGCTGAAGTAGTCTTGAYGCTCACCTGCCTTCTTCCATAGTTTGCAGTCTTTAGAAGGTCTTTGAGATGTTTTAGAATGCGATGTGCTGTTCAGCACTTAGTGTCTATGTATTTGGACTTGTTTAAAGTCTTGTGATCTGCACAGGTTYAAAATAATTATTTCAGATTGAAAGCGATATAAAGGTATTACTTCGTGATACATGACGGACTTAATCTTTTGTACGAAATAGTGTTCTGATGTGGTACTTGGTTGTCTCCACTTGGAGAGCGGTAGCATAGTACTTACGAGAAAGCTGCAGTTTGAGTCACAGGTGTGTAGACACCTAGTGGGGAGAAGAGTTAGTCTCAAAGCAAATTTCCCCACTTACCCTTCAATTTTTATTATTTTAGGGTCTTTCTGAATATGTGAGTCGGCTCTTCTGTCTACCAAGCTCATACTACCAAGCAGTGGAAGGAAAGCTTGTGCTAGACATTGTTATTAAWTTTTTTAATATAAAGGTGAAGAAAATCTTTGCATCTTGTGTTACCACTAACAYATGCACACCCCTCTGGTTGGGCTGGTACAAATGTGTGTGCATATGCTGTGTAGAAGTTTGAATTCTCTGGCAGCAAGGGAATGATAGCTTGTGTGGGATGAAACACCTGGGTACCAGTGCAGTGGGAGCCAGATGTAATTTTTAGCAGGGGAAGAAATGGAGGGTGAAGGGGAAGGTTTCATGTCCCTTTCCTTTTCAACCTAAATTTGTAGGAATGTCTTGAGTTTTTCTGCTGAATTTTAAATTTTGTAACTGCTGAAATGCCCAATGTAAATCATTCTGCTGAGAGACCGAAATTCTGTCTGAACTTAGGAATCTTTCAGTGGGATCAAGCTCTTAGATAGTAAATAAAAAACAAATGAACATTGATTCTCTTACAACACTTCTTCCTTCTTTTCCATCTGACCAGCCAAATGGAAATCCAGTAATACAGCATCTCAAATATAACAGTATTTCTCCCCTGATGTGTTTGGTGTAGTTGTTTTGATCGATTTAAGATGATGTCCAAGCTATTTATTTTAGGTCTAGTTAGTCTGAATCAAAATGCCTGAATGTAGAAGCCACGTAACTTCACTTGGAATAAAGGGAATTTGTACAGGATCTTAGGAGAGCAATCTAAGAGGGCTTCTTGGGTGTTACTGAGCAGGTGTGGAAAACTGATGCTTGTCCCTCTGTTGGGTCTATCTGCAAAGTTCTTGAACTCAGTTCATCCCTAAACCTGGCATATATTAACARTTGAAAAAAGCATAAATCCAAGAAGTTCAGAATGGCTCACTCAGAGGAGTGTCTCCAGATACATGAACCATAGATCAGTCAGGAGGTCRGATGCTGAGAACTCTGAACAGAGGATCGTTCTGGTAAGTGACTGTGAACAGACACTGCAGCTCAGAGCTCCAAGGAAAACTGCTACCATAACTGCCTTGAGTTTTTCCAATCTGATGCATGTTTTGAGTTTTTAAAACATGCTTTAAAACAGTCATAAGAAGTTTTTATGTTACTACAACGTTTCCAGTTCTGTATTTCGAGAAGATGCATAAGAGACACAAGTACTCATTTTAAATATATGGCTATAAAGTTGCTATGATACATTCGATAATAAAAGATCAGAGCAGTAGGTCAAGTCAGTTAAATTATGCACTGTTTAGAAGACTTCGTTGCCTGCCAAAATGCCCATAGGCAGTAGGAGTTAAATAAGTAGTTGTAGCAGAGCACTTGTTGAACATTTCTTAAAAAGAAAATAAATATTTCAGAGTATTTAAAGTAATCAAAGTGGTAATTTTCTAGTAGGCTTTGCTGTGTGCATAGTTGGTTTTGATTGGAAACATTTATATTAGTCTCAACACTTGGGTCTAGAGTGTTTAAGTGCATTTTGTTCTCTTGCTATATGAAATAGGAGAAATCCATGCTTTTGTAAAGGCTTCTCTGCTGTTTAGCTGATATATTGATACTTCTGTTTTTTCCCCAGTTCTTGTCAGTAAACTTTTCTGTGGTAGAACAGGCAAAATGAAATGTCRGTGAAACTATTCACGTTAATTGCAAGGTCTGTGATGTTTAGTAGCATCAGGTAAGCAGCATAGTTTGGTTTTTCAGAAGTGGCTGCAGAAATTTCTWATTAAAATTTTGATGGGAGCTGGATGCCTAATACATGTGGATAGTTGTTAAAATAAATACTTGTGTGCAAGCTTTTGAAATAGGAAGTGTAATTCAGACTCAGATAATCCTTTCCTACAGCAAAAACTGGTTGCATGGGTTGATAAGGAAGTTCTAGAATTTAACAAGATTTTCTTCTGTGCTCTGTCACGAGAGATGTTGTGCAACATGCTGCAGGGACCTGATGGACTGAAGAGGAGCCACATATAAATTAGGGATCATGTTCATTCACTGGCACAGAAAGCCCACATGCATTCTTACAAACACTTCTTAGCTTGTCAGTTAGTCATATTTCAAAGGACTTGATGACTGAGACATTAGAAAAAATGGTGTGGAAAAGAGCTGTCAGATGTTCCCTGTTCCAGCCCTGTCTACTCGAGTCTCTTTACAATTTAAGAAGGGAGTGTTTCACCAAAAAAAAAGAGCTTTCTGTACATTGAGTACGTAGTAAAACAGTCAATATTTTACCTGCTGGTATTACACAGCTCCCTCTGGTCTTTTATTCAGCTGTAGCTTAGGAGTTGCAATGCAACTTCGAGTAGTTAGCTTTTTCTGGTTTCCAGTATAGCTTTTCAAATTATGATTTGGCTTGTCTTTTTAAGATGAAAATGGGTAACAGTTGAATAATGTTTAGAAAGCTTTCACTGTTCTATATGTCTTAAAGCAACTGCCCTCTAAATAGATTTGGTTTTTAGTAATATTTTTTTTTTACTTTATGGTTGGGCAACCTTGAGCCAAAAGTTCAGGCCTGTGTTCTCTTGCCTTTAATGTAATTTAAGCATACACCCTGATACTTGACTCCTGCTAGGGCTGCTTAGGTGGTCTGGGTGTGCCTACTTCAGTTGTTAATTGTTTTTCTAGTATTAWACCATAAACACAGTAAAAAAACATCTGGAAGATGGGGGAGTGGTAAAGCCCCTCTTAAGAAAAAGAAAATGAAATATGGTAGACGTCAAGTAAAAGCACTTTTGAGTCTTTGGTTGTTCTACAGATTGTGAAAAGATATGTTCCTCCAAAAGGTTTTTGAAATACAGGCTTTGGGATSGGGAATGTTGCCCATCCTTGCCCTTGTCATGAACAGGAGGAGACTGAATACCTCAGTGGTCAATGCTAATTACAGTAAGCTCCTCCTCTGTCCTGACCTTTTGTGGAGAAGGGCTGTGGCTTTCTGGCTTCAGGGAGATAGTATATAAAATCTTGCTGCCAGATGAGACACTGCACTAGAGGGATAGCTTGAGGGCTTAGCCCTCTCATCCTGAGACTTTTCAGTAGCCGTAAATCACAGAGAAGGAGGCATGCCTCATACTGTAGGGGTACAAATTGGGTTCAAATATTTTTGACATTTATCCTTTCTGAAAATGCAAACATTATCTGGAGATTCTTTTTTGCGATGTTGCCTGATTTTATTGTTACAAAGGTTCTTTTGTGGGATATGGTCTTTGCCAAGGTTGCAGAAAGCTTAGGTCATAGGTAGAATCCCAAGTTCACAATCATCAAGAGAATGTGAAATTATTTCATCTTCACTTTTCTCTTCTCTTTCCAGGAAAAGCATGTGTGCGGAGTTTGGTGGCAGAATATTTCAGGTACGTGGGCAGTCTGTGGCAGATACATCTGAAGCAAGTGTGACTGGCTGAAGAGGTGGCTGAATTTGGAGACACAGAAGTGCTGGCAAGCCCAGGAAGATAACTAATTGGAAGAATATTGCTAGACACAGAAGAAGTGGAACACTTACTTCTGCAACAGACAGTGACTCAGGATAAATACATCGGTAAAATCATCAGCCGTGAAAAGAAAGACTTTGGTGTTTTTCATTCTCTGGTGGATTGCATTACTTACAGACATTTTCGTTATCCCATTTAATACATCTTGAATTTCTCTGTATATAAAACTATAACTGGACAATTGCATTTTGATACTGTTTAATAACACTTTTGAATGTTAAATCATTTGCCAAGATGAGTGCTGAGGGATATCAATACAGAGCTTTATATGACTACAAAAAAGAGCGAGAAGAAGACATTGACTTGCACTTAGGAGATATATTAACTGTGAATAAAGGTACCTTATTAGCACTTGGATTCAGTGAAGGGGAAGAAGCAAAGCCTGAGGAAATTGGTTGGTTGAATGGCTTTAATGAAACCACAGGGGAGAGGGGGGATTTCCCAGGAACTTACGTAGAGTACATCGGAAGAAAAAAAATATCTCCCCCCACTCCAAAGCCTCGTCCTCCTCGGCCTCTTCCAGTAGCACCAAGTCCTGCGAAAGCTGAAGCAGAGAGTGAGCAACCAGGTCAGTACTCAGAAGGTGTGTGTGTATCCCCATGGTTCCAGGTATTTCTGTTTTATACATTTGACTGTACATTCATGTGTATAGGACCTGCTGGTCAGTCTTTTTAGTCTAYGGCTCATTTGAGTCAACTGAGAATTGTTTCTACATCATAATATTTAGCTCATACACATTGTAGTTTCATGTGTTTTGTCTCAGGCACAGGGGCAAATGACATACTATGAATTACATACATTACAGGTTAGAAAGTATGCTTATAATTCTCCACTGTAAAAATTTAAATGGAAAATGAGCCAGTTAACATTTATTTTAGGTTTCTAAGAAACTGATTGAAGTGTGTCCTATTGCGGTTCATCCAACTCACTACTGAGAAAGTTCTTGGTGATTCCAGTAGCATGTGTTCTAAATAAACAATATGTTCTTACCACAAATCTCTTGCTAGTAGCAAAAATTGTATTCTGGTCCTGGGGTGTTGGCTACCTATGGCATTAAAGGTAACAACAAATACTCTAAAATGGAAAATGAAATGATAATAAAGTGAAATTCAGTCTTAGCGTTTTTGGGAGGTATGGCATGCTGCAGAAGAAAATAGCCCTTATATGAAAAAGGTTAAACAAAGGAAATATCTTCCTAAGTTGCTTTCTCACTTACGTTTGCAATAGTATGTTAGGCAGAACTCAGAATTTGATCAGAACTCTTCTKTTAAGAGAAGAAAAACAAAATCTCTTTTATAATTGGAAAATTTTTGGGGTAAAAAAAACCAAAACAAACACTCTTCCTCCAAGTGATTTTGTCTCCTTTACTTTCTGACACTCAGGTAGTTGGGTTTTACATATCAGTAAGCCAAGTTCATCTTAGAATAGACTTTATCTGAGAAGGCTAGGCTTATATTACTTCAACTTTAACACTTCACAAATTCTCRGGGTTTCTAGCTGCAGGAAGTAAGAGTTGTAGTATGTGATCATGATTTTCACAGTGACACCATAGTAATGAATAGTAGCATCACATTGCCTATGTAGAAATGTTTGCAGCATYGCTTGCAAATTTATGGTATCAGTTTCTCAGCTTCCATCCCCTGTGCATACAAGTTTATATGTAATTGTGCTGATAACCAGCAAAGATAAGAGCAGAAATACAGAAAACTGAATGTTGCAATGACGTTAAGCTGGCAGAAACATTCCCCTTTGTGGGGACTTAATAGAGAGTCAATCTGGACTGGTTCATATAGCAAGGTCCTGAAGCAGTGTACCAACCATTGCTTGCAAGTCTGCAGTGCCTAGATGCAAATCATTGTTCAGATGAAGGCGAGGGCACATGAAGATGTAGTGGTATTTCAGGTTATACTATCCCTGTCTCTTAAATCGTTGAACTCCSAACTGCTGGTCATTACAGTCTCATGTTTTGTCTTTTATGAGAGTAGTTCTGAAAATGGGGTATTTGCCTTTGAAAAGGAAAAGCTGTTTCTTTGATCGTTCCTTGTATTTGATATGAATGTGTGCTGCTCGGTAACACTGACTGTTTTCTTAACCCACCTGTGGAGAAAGTTGTCACTGTCCTGTGTAACTGCGAAGTAAACCTGGCCCTTTGAATAGACACCTTAATGCTGACAGGTCATTTTGAGCAGCAGAGAACAGAAAGGAAATCCCATTCTTTACATGTGCATGCTGTGGTGGTGCAGCAACATCCCCGGCTTTGATGGGTTTATTGGTTTAAAAAGCAGCACTTTGTAACTTCCTTGGTTTCTGTACTCATGTTTGCTTGATGCTTCTGTTCACAGCTCCACACTGTGAGCTGGCCACAGCACTACACTGGGAAGTCCTGGTGTTAATCTTGCAGTTTCCAAGCCTGCCCCAGGACTGCCTTTGTAACAGACTTTTATGGGAGTTTTGGCTGCTGAGTTTTCCTTACTTTAGGAAATTCTGCTGCAGATTTGGGGTCTCCGCTTATATGTAACTTTCCATGTGGGGTTTATTGCCTTTAGACGATGTACTATTTACATGCTATATGTTTAATACCATGGGACTGTGGGAATTTGAGAAAAAAAAATGTTCTGATTTAGCTGGGAATCTTCATCTCAAAGTCTGTACACATAATCCTACTGTGCTCCAAAATGTTTAAGAATCATCTTGCAATCCAACCTCGTTTTCTTCTGATAAAAAAAAAAAAGCGTCCCCCAGCTTCTTTAGAATTAAAGATTTTAAGCTTCATGTAAGAGGCTACACACCTTTATAATGGCCTAAAACCAGGGATTAGGCCCTTTTTAATAGAAATTTTAACTTCAGGTTTAACTACTATTAAAATAAAGTATGTTTTCATAAAAGAAATGAGGAAAAGTAATGATAAGTAGTTTCTTTACAGATCTTTTTACTGAAGAGGTCTAAGGCAGAGAGTTCATTGAATCTTAGAAACAAATTTGGAAGTGTTGTACTGAAAGAGTATTATAAAATCAAAATGAAGATGGCTTTAAATTAGCAGAATGCTACWAAAAATTTGGTGAAACCAGAGGTGAGGGCAAAAATACAGATCAGATGAAGAAAAATGTAGCAATGTATGTTTGACTTCCAGGTGGCTTCACTATTTTTGTGTGTGTTATTTGGGGCAGGGATTTGCACAGTTAATATTGTCCAGCAGCCAATGTAATGGGCAATAGGCCAAAAGATTCTTCCCAGGATGATATTTCTCTCTACACTCTTAGARTGTATTTAAAATAATGTGTAGTGTGAAACTTGCCTGACCAAATGCAATCAAATTTGCATTTTCACTACATGATGAATTAAAAGTGCTGTGGATTAAAATGATGAATTAATGGGGAACTGTAATTTAAGACTTCTTAAACATGTGTTAGTTACTTGTGGTCTGTATACTTCTTTAATTCCCTTAAGAGTCAATTCTGTATGTACCTCTATTGTGTATAAGGGTATCTGAGTTGAATAACAGTATCAGAAACTGAGATTTCAAAAAATATATTTGCGTACTCATAGGAGTTCCTTTAATTTTACCATATATCTAGGTTTATTTTTTGAAGAAAACACCTTTTAATATTGTCAATACTCTTAAATTAATCACTCTATTGTTTTTTTCCACCTGGAAAAAGCTTGACCACTTGCTCATCAATATCCAGATTGTTTCATATTTAATCTAATTGGTAATATTTAAGCACAATGCTACCGGTATTCACAATGGCTTGTTACTCATACTCAAAAAATCGTAGACATCTGAACAGACTTTGCAGTCAATGAGGCTGATGTCATGGCCAGTGTCTTACACAGTCAGTGTTACTTATAAACAGGGAGCTTCCTAAGTCTTAAAAGTCAATCTGAAAGCAAAAAACCCTTGCTGGTGGTCTCAAATTCCATCAAAACAATTAAATGTTTCACTATAATTATATTTTATTAATGACTTACTTAAATTTCTAGAACCATTGGTGAAGACAAGAATTGTTATTCCTTAGCWGAATTTTAGGAGTATTGCATTTTGCCTGTCTTTCCCTTGTTTTTGTCCATAAAGAACTAGATTTAGTCTGAGGGGATTTTTTTTTTTTTTAATTACATCTGAAAGGCTGTGAAAATAAAGGAGAAACAAAAGCCCTGAGAAGTCTCTACCACTTTCCTSTCTCAGGCCTGATGCATGTTAGAGGTCTGGCAATGCAGATTTAATTCCTCTCACTGGTGTGATGCTCTAAGTGGCCCAACCTGCCAGATTTTTTTTCCCACCAGGCAAGGGTGCCTGGCTGTTGCYGGGAAGATTGAGGTACTTCTAACAGTGGAGTCAGAGCATAGGGCCATCTTTATTCCCTCCTTAGGCATCAAAAGTTTGTGTGAAGTAGTAAAGATTTTACATGACTGGGGGTTTTGGGGGGTTTTGTTTGTTTGATTGTTTGTTTTAAATGGAAGCTTCATCAGGCTGGTTCCTCTCTCTTATCCCACTTATGCTCAACTCTTTGCAAATGAAAAGTGCATARGCTTTACAAAGTCCAGATATGTTTTGCAAATGTTGATTCAGCTCATCTGACATGGCTGCATACATTTAGAGTTGATTCATACGGTATTATTTCTCTTATTTCACCTGGTTTGTGAAAGCTGATCTTAAGCAGACTTTGGAGCATAAAGGTTTGATTGATGGATTGAACTACTTTCAGATTTAGCTAGGAATGGTAAATTCTCACTTTGAAATGAAGATCAGATTGCAGAAGGGCAGACCAGAACTTTGTACAAATAATTTGTCAGTTTTGATGTTTTTGAGCTTCCTGCAACTTCCTGTGTAACTTAAAAGGGTTGTTTATGTTGACACTTTGCACTGTTTCAGCTGATTTTGAGCCTAAAAATAATCTGAAGCTCTTCCTTCGTGTAGTGAAGCTATAAAATAGCTTTRTTCTTTTCTTAAGAAAAACCCCAAACTTTCTTTCACTCTTCTCTTAGAACAGATACAGATCAGTAAGTTACTCAAAGATAATGACACGGAACATTTGGAAACTCTTTCCTCTCACTGACCAGGTTATGCAATATCTGACAGAGATCCAAATTGACAGAGGGCATAAAACGGTCTCTGCGTGATTTAACTGAATGTGTTGTAGGATTTGTTCCTTTAATTATGCTTATTTTAATTAATTAATTAATTAATTAATTAATTAATTAAATTAATTATAAAGCAGTGGAACAATCCATTTGTGCAAATTATCTACATTTGTGTATTGGGGGATGTAAGAGTGAGTGAAATGGAGCAAACCCGGAGCCTCCATTGGGAAGAAATCAGTCATCATATTGCCTGATTTAGGCAAATGGAAGAAGGAAATAATGGGATGAAGTGACAAGTCACTGTCTCATGACAAATACAAATGGTAAATATATTTACCATTCATGCCAGAGCCGCTGAATTCTTTAAGAACCAGTTTGAGTATAAGCCTTTGCCCTTGCTGCCTTTGCCCTGCTGCAGTTGTCAGAACTGCCTTGCAATCATAAACTTTCCCATCAATTGATTTGGACTTGCACCGAGAAATGGGGCAA